ACTAACCCATAGCTGGGGGAGATGTGATGGATTCATACCTTTCCCAAGTGTAAGTGAACTAAGAACAACGCAATATTACTTCTATAAGGAAGGAAAGAAAATTGTATTAGGTTGTCTGATAATTTCCTTTTTTGTGCTTTTCGAATTAACATTCAAAATAGTTTTAATATCGTGTGTTATATATTTTTAAATATATTATATATATATATATATATATATGGTGGACTCTCCCGTCATATTCAACATATGAGGGTCAAACAGCTCAGTTCCATACACCAGCCGAATACACAGACCTGGTGCACGTAGTGCAACAAGGTCCCCAAACATCCCTCCCTAGGTTTTGAATTCAGCGTTGTCCTTCTCCTAGACCAGTTGTCATCCAAGGCTATAGAACCCAGTCTATCCTGCTATTTAGACATAGCTGGAGGGAGAATAAGAAGGATTAATATCTTTTACAAGGGTATTAGCACATAAGTGAATGTAATGGATTCGACTGAAATTCGAACTCAGCTCTCGATTCCTCAATCCGAGCCCGAAATCCACCGTGCTCTCTCATATATATATATATATATATATATATATATATATATATATATATATATATATATATATATATATATATATATATATATATATATATATATATATATATATATATATATATATATATATATATATGAAAGTGAGTAAATAATCAAAGAACTGAAAATTATTGGAAAGCAAGACAGCAAGACCTTGATTATGCTTGTGGTGCAATTGAGAAGAACCAAGAAACCTCTTTTAACACCGAAGATGAACAGAAGGCCGGAATGGCAGTATTCATCAATTTAAACAAAAGAGACCGTCCCAAATATTCGTCTTCTGATGTATTCGAACCTGTTGAATCCATTGGTGATTTTATTGAATAAATTTAATCTTTTTATTTCAAGATATTTTGTGCAAACTTAGTGTAAGCCGGACGTTAAAATGAGATGTCAGTGTTATTTTAATTTTTGCGTAATTTAGGCGACAATTTTATGCATACAGGTACAGACATATATATATATATATATATATATATATATATATATATATATATATATATATATATATATATGTCTGTGTTATATATATATATATATATATATATATATATATATGAAAATGGACAAAGTCAAACAATTATTTAAAGACATTTTATGTTTATACGTTCTTTTTATATATAAAATTCTCTGTAATAAACATTAAACAACATTTACCTTTGAATATATATATTTTAAATAAATATTCGTCTTCTGATAGGATTCGAACCTTTTACGGAACCATTGTGCAATCGACGAGCCAGCCGAACGTTCCTCTGTTGAATTTAGGACGTAGGTTATTTATTTGATTCCGCAAACACGCCTGTGGCCTGGAGAACTCGATTCGTCAGGTTTTAACGGCGATTCTTTCATCAACATGTTGTTTAATAGTATTTATTAAAATTCAAATTAAATATTTTCTCTATAAAATGAACGTATCATAAAAAATGATTTTTTATATATATATATATATATATATTTTCGCCCCTAAGCCAACAGACTGAATTTAGACGTATTTATTTTTGGCAAACAGTTCATCTGAAGAACTCGATTCGTTTTAACATCCGATTGACAGCAGCAATCGTCACTGTTTGATTAAACTTTTCTCCCCGCTCTAAATGATTTTTTTTGCAGGAGCATATCTATATATTGTCGTCCACAGACAGACTGTTTCGCAGTTTCACTGTTCATCAGTATGGATAGACATCCGATTGATTTACAGGGTGCGATAGATAAATTGCCGTCTAAATGATGCCAAAATGAAAATAACACTGACATCTCATTTTAACAGATACATTTACCAGAGCTGCCCCCAAAAATATACTGAAATAGTAAAGAGTAGATTTATTCAATAAAATCGTCATTAGCTTCAACCACAGCCTCCAGACCTCTCCTGCAAATTTTTAGACGCTCCCCTTGTTTAATTCGGTGAATGCTGCCATCATTCTTGCCTTTAGTTCATCTTTGGTGTTACAAGGAGTTTTGCTAGTCTCTCACTCAACTGCACCCGCACGTAATAATCAAGGAGTTACAGTCTGGGGAATTAGTTGGCCAGATGTAAGGGGTGATATGGCTGCAGAAATTGCCTGAAAACTATGTCTGGGTTCTCTTGCTTGTGTAGCATGATGCAGAGTCTTGTTGCCAAACACAGGGTCCTTCCAGCAGCCACGCTCTTGACACCGTGCAGCACCAACTCCTAGGGAAGACAGGAGATGTAGGCCCTCTGTGTTGAGTCGAGATATGGAAGACAAGAGATAGTGATGACATTGAGAGAAAGAAAGAAGATGAGTATGTGAGTGACAGAGCGAGGTAGAGAGTTAAAGAGACTGAGTAAAGGAATAAAAGGGAAATAAATGAGGAGAGAATGGAAAGATAGAAAACACAGACAGAAAGAGAGAGACAGAAAGAGAGTTTAATAAATTGTTTAAGAAATAGAAAGTAATTTAGAAAGTGCTGACGTAGAGAGAGACAGAGAGAGAGAGAGAGAGACAGAGACAGACAGACAGACAGACTGGATTGATTTGCTTTTTACGGCTTATCAACCTTTTGAATATTATTTAAAACCAGAAAATATTTTTGGGATTATAAGAGTTTTGAGGAGATAACAATGAGTTTACTGATACAAGTACTACTATTTATCCCATAGCTAGGGGAAGACCAGGTGGATTCATATATTTCCCAATGATATTTGCGCGTAAGTGAATATAACAAACATAACTGGTGTTGGAGCTTGGCTCTCTCATTTACCATTGCATCATCCCAGCACCGAAGCTTATAGCGCCTGTTAATCACGATCTAGGTAGTGATCAGGCTCAATGTTGCTTAACTTTGATGATCAGAAGACAACTAGAGATGTGGCGGTAAGTGAGTGAGTAAGAGAAACGTAGACATTAAACATGTAGTTTAGATGTAGAACTGTAACATAATTGTTAAAAACGTTGTTTAGATTTGTAACCTTAACACAAATGTTAAAAATATAGTTTTAATGTGCAGCCATAGATGTTAGAATGTTGCTTAGATGTGCAACCATAAAATAGATGTTAAAATGTAGTTTTGATATGCAACCAAACCACAGACATTAAAAATGTAGTTAAGATGTGCCACCGTACCATTGATGTTAAAATGTGGTTTAGATGTGCAACCAAACCACTGACATTAAAAAGGTGGTTTAGATGTGCAACCAAACTATATGTATTAAAAAGGTAATTTAGATGTGCAACCAAACCAGGCACATTAAAAACCTGCTTTAGATGTGCAACCAAATAACAGACATTTAAAATGTGGTTTAGATGTGCAACCAAACCATGGGCATTTAAAATGTGTTTTAGATGTGCAACTAAGCCACAGGCATTAAAAATGTTGTATTTATGTGCAAACAAACCATAGATATTAAAAATGTGGTTTAGATGTTCAATCAAACCACAGACATTAAAAAAAGATGTGTCACCGTACCATTGATGTTAAAATAGGGTTTAAAATGCAATCGTACATAGATGTTAAAATGTGGTTTAAATGTCCAACCAAACTACAGACATTTAAAATGTGACTTCGATGTGCAACCAAACCACACACCTAGAAAATGTCGTTTAGATGTGCAACCAAACCGTAGGTATTAAAAATATGGTTTAGATGTGCAA